TGTGTTTGTCAATTTGGTGTGTCTACCTCTGTGACTGCTCAGATGGCCCTTAGTGTTCTATGTGTTTTTTTGCCTTGGGTCTTGGGCCTTTCTGGGAAGTTTCCTCTCTCGTCAGCTCTGGGAGTTCTCCCTGTTCCTTGTGTTCTGGCCCTGGCAGCTGGATCCTGTCCTGCTGGCCCGACAGGGTGTGTGAGATCTGTAAGTCTCCACCTCGCTATCCAGATGTTTCCCCTCTCTGTGTGCACTTGGTTGGGCCACTTGGAGGGTGTGTCTTTTTTTTCTGAGACTCCTTCTCCTTTGCCGGACCCCTCCCCTCTCTGTGCGCTCAGTAGAGGGCTGGGGCGTGTCTTCTGCAATCCTCGTCTCTCAGCCCCACCCAGCCCGAAGGGGTCTCAGGCCTCCGCCACGGACACTGTGGGTGTTCCTGCGGCCCTGGTCAAGGCCCTCTCTGGGCCTCCCAGCTTCCCCCCGGTATTGCGGCCCCCTGTGTGGTTGAGTTATCTCCCACACCAGGGCGTGAGCACCCCGGGGGAGGATCCCACAGCACACAGTTCCTCTTTGAATCCCCCCAGCGTGAGCCGGCTCGGCGCCCTCAGGCCATCAGCTCTCTGGCAGTTTCAAGCGGGCTCGGGGGCATCCCGGTCACCCCTCTCCCAACCAGAAATCAGTCTGGGGTTCTTCCAAACTGAAGGCCACAGAGATGGCATCTGCCTCCCAGAAGCAGGAAGTTTACCTGGGGCTGAAGCCCCAGGTGCGGTGGAGTGACAGTCTGGCCGGGATCCTCTTCCCTGCCCTCCCGACGCTGGCCAGGGGCTCCCCACGCCACCAGCCCTGCCAGAGATCCGTGGGTGGAGTGGGATTGGTGGCCGCTCCACAGGCCCCGAGGGGCCCCGCGCTGAGGCACACAAGTGGCACGGCTCAGTGAGGAGCCGCGCCAAGCGAAGATGGCTGGTCTGCCCGATCTGAGCCGGCTGGTTCCGCCCCCACCAGAGAAAATGGAGGCTGTGGTGGTGCCGGCGCCTAGCCTGGTGTGGTAGGTGGGAGCCGGGCAGGCATTTCCCCACAAGTGGGGCTGGGCTGGGGGTTACTCACAGAGCTCCCAAAGCTGGGCTGGTCCAGCGCCTTCCTCTCTGTCTCTGCATCACTGCTGCCATCTTTCCTGGCCTTTGTTGCCTCGGGCTGCTCGCTCGGTCTCCCGGCAGTCTCCTGGTGTGGTTGGGGCGCTCTCAGGAATCTCCTTTTGTATCGGCCCTAAAACCTCAAGACTGTAGT